CAGACTCTTAGGAACCAGGCTCAGTTGGGAGCTGAGCTACCCCAGATCACCTCTACCCCAGCCCAGGGTCACACACTCTGTAGTCTGAGGACAGTTTTTGGTCCATGGAGACGTTTTCGTGCAGCACAGGCAAACATTGCATTTTGTTCCTGGCAAGCTGCTCCCTGCTCACGTTGCTTCTGAAAGGCAGGGGATGAAGAGCAAGCGGTGAGCCTGGGCTGAGCTGGATCCAAAGCTCAGAGAGTGTCCAGGCTGCGGGTCCCACAGAGCTGGACACAGGAGGAAGCGACCGTGAACCTCCCTGCACAGGGTCCTCCGTGGCATGTATTTAGGTGTGTACACACATAAGCGTGTGTGTAAGTGGATTTGATGCATTTACCTAAAGCAACCTTGCAGATAGAAAGACTGTCCCACTGTCACTGGGGCTTTGAGGGGGATCCCAGCACTCCCCGCATCCCGCAGCCAGCGTGCATCCTTGCAACATAGCGTTGCGGAGTGCGGACCCAGGCCCCACTAGGCTGAGGCAGGGAGGCTTCCAGGGTTCGCCATCCTGCCGTGCCCGAGGACACCACCTGCACGTGCAGGCCAGAAGGGCAGGGGACTTGCAGAAGTGACACACACTGCTCTTGCTGGGTGGCACCTCAGCTTCGGAAGGCGGATGGCCAAGACTTTTCCAAGGACCAAGCAAAGCTTTCCTCAGATGGTGCCCACCAGAGGCCGGCTCCTGGGGGAGCAGAGATGAGCAACAGACTGTCCGTGACCGGGCAAGGGTCCTCAGGTCTGCTCTCCAGTGGCCTTCTGGATCTCAGGCTGGTAGCCTCCCCTGCTCTCCAGCAGTCAGCCAGGTGGGAAGGGCGTGGGGGAAGGACATGGGGGGGGGTCCAGGCCCCGTCTTAAGCATTCTGCACTCACTGGCTCATTCAGTGACTTACATGCCCATTGAACAGATGAGAAGCCTGAGGCCAGAAGGTTAAAGAAACTGCAGGGTCAGCTTGACAGCCATAGACCACTGCCGCTAGAGAAGATATTCAAGCCCCAGACTTCGGGGAGCCCCCAGACCCAGCACTGACTGGCCGGGTTTCACAGCAAAACTGCCATCCCTCTTGGGGACTCTGGGCTCCCCATCTGGCCCCTTGGACGTGGGGCTCCCTGGTCTGATTCTGGTCCATTCCCCCAGCTCCCACCACCCTGACCTCACCAACCCGGAGCCCCTGGCCTCCCTATCCCCTGCACCCCGCCACGGCCTCCGCCCACCCGCCGGTCCCTGCTGCAGAGCCGGGATGATGGGGTGGCCCCTCTAATTACCGCTGCGCTCCCCAAGCCGCGTTCAGTTATCACAGAGGGTGCAGACCTGGCAGCTCAGCCTTCTCTGTCCTGGGCCCTCGGGGCCAGCTCAGGAACGGAGGGAATTAATTACATTTTCCCGTCCCCTTCTTTTAAAGTAGGGGAGCGCGCCGGCGTGTCCCGGGGGAGGGGGTGGGTGAGCAGAGGCTGTGGAAGGGGGGCCCCACCCCCAAAACCAGCGAGCCTCTCCCCAGGGGCGGAAGGGGGGGGTGAGGCTGGCCCCTTATTGATTTAGGCTGGTCTAGGCTGGGACTGATTTGGAGCGGGGAGAGGGGAAAGCTGGGGGGGCAGTGCCTGGTGGGGGCGGGGGGGGCGGCTGTCACTCAGCCTGACGGACAGCCCGAGATTTGCCTTCAGATAAAACCTTACAGATGTGGAGGTCGGTATTGATTTTGAGTTAGTAACGGTAACCTAGCAAGAAGTAATACATTAGTGAACGCAAGGTCACCGGAAGACGTGAAACCCACCCGGGGAGCGGCCCACATTCTTGAGGGGGGCGACCACCGCATGGGCAGGGGCTTCCTCAAGTTCAAAAGTTTGCAGACCCCAGACCCCAGCCGCGCCCCTCCGTGTGGGCCGCGCTTCCTGCTTCTGTGGGTGCAAGGAGGGTGCTGACCCACAAGGCCACGGGACCTCTGGGGTCCCCTCCCCTGCTTCCTGGGGGGATTTGGAGGGAGGCACAGCGGGGACCTGGGAGACCTGGGGCAGATCCCAGCTCTGTGTAACCTGGCTGTGACCTCAGATGAGCTGCTTTGATGTCCTGTGCCCCGGTTTCCCCATCTGCAGAATGGGAGTAAGAATAACCCGTGGGCTTCAGGAAGCACTAGGGTGACCAGGTGTGACCCGGGGCCTGTGGTCCTGCCCCGGCAGGACGTCCTCTCCTGCCTCCCTTCACCTGGGTGCCTTCCGGTCTGTTTGGAAGCTGCTGTGCTAGGGACAGAGGGTGGGATGAGTCGGAGCCCTTTGATCCTGGGCCTGCAGGGACTCAGAAAGACGGAGCTGACACTACATAGCCCCGTTCACATCGACCCCAGATGTGGATTTGATTTGATGTCCCAGGGCAAATCTCATTGAGCAAATCCCATTATGGGAAAAGCTCCCTGGGCACAAGCTGTTTGTGAGCTGTCACTAACTGGCAGGGTCCAAGGCCTCTGAGCCACGGGGCACCACACAAGCCCTTTCCAACAAAGGACTGCGGGAGGCCTGGCAGCTCCCAGGATTTCTCTTCTCAGCGCTGACCCTCTTGCTGCTTTTAAACTGCTAGGTGTGTTCCTGCCCCAGGGCCTTTGCATGTGCAGATATCCCTGCCCGGTGAGCTTTTCTGTTGCCAGTCCTGTGTGGACTAGCTGGGTATCCCCTCTTTAGGACGTCTCACCTGACCCCACTACCCACCATACCCTTTCATTTTCCTTCTATATTATTTATCAGAACTAGAAGTTACACTGTTTATCCTTTCCCTTGTTCATGGTTGGCTTCCTGGGTTAGACTGGCAGCTCCTGAAGGGCACAGAATTGGAATCTTCACTGCTGTGTCCCCGAGCTTAGTGTCTGGCTCGTAATAAGTGCTCAGTAAACATTTGTTAAAGGAATTTAGCAGAGCTTTTCTGAGCTCCCTGTACGCAGCAGGCACAATGCTGCCTGGGGGGCTGCGGAGACAGACTACCCCATCTTTCCCTCAGAGAGTCGGTTCACAGGCCAGCGTATGTAGAGCCTGGCACATAGGAGCCCTCTATGAAATGTTTGTTGAATGAATGAAAATTGTCTTCAGGAAATGACATACTGTTAGGCGCTGTCAGAGCAGAGAGTGCAGCGTAGGGAAGGATGGAGGAGTTGGGATGGCCTTAAGGACAGATCGCAGACGCCCTCCTGGCGGGTCCTGAGGAGACTGATAACTCTTGACCTGGTGGTCAGTCGCGTTTGCGGTTCTCTGTGGGTCCCTGTCCTGCCGGGTCTGTGCACCGTGCTGAGCCCATCCCGCAGCGCCCTCCCCACCTCCCCTCACCCCTCTGGCTGGGCATCTTGGCGGTGTAAGGGGCCAAACTGAGTCTCCACGCGTGGCAGCCCCTCCCTGCGTGTCTTAGGCCCGGGCGTCCTCTGTGGGGAGCAGCCGCGTGTTACAGGGTGGGGAGGAGGACGGGTGGAGAGCGGGCTCTGGACTGCAGAATGCGTTCCTCAGTTTACCCGGAGGTCCTTTCCTCCCCTTCCAGCCCCGTGGCCGCTTGCTCAGGCTGGAGGAGACCTGGGGGTACAAGCAACCTGGGGAGCCCGCTGCCCCTAAAATAGAGACGTTTCCTGATGTCCCTGGCCCTGGCTGCTGGCCCTTTCGCTCCTGTCATCGCCATCTTGGTGCAGGGGGATGGGCACCAGCCTATCCCCCCCCCGACCCCCTCAAGCCCCCACCACCACTGAGCAGCCCCGCAGGGTCTAGAGGAGGAAGGAACGCAGGAGGGCGACCCAGCCAAGTGGGCAGTACTTGGAGCGGGGGAAGAACTGGGCCAGCTGGGCCCATAAGTGAGCCGCTGATCCCAAGGGTACGACCCTGCGAGGGTTCGGAGGCATTGGTTGTGTATTGGAGAGTCAGTCCTGATGTCTCCCCGGTAGGCTGGGGTGGGTGAACCCCGCTTGCACGCCTGCTGTGAGAGCTGGACCTCAGCGTTCCCATCTGAGAGATGGGCGTCATGGAGTAATGGCTGTCACTGAGCCAGACTCCCTATACAGCCTGCTCCACAAAGGCCGCACCCATTTCCTAGCTGCCCTCTGTGTTGGGGCCCATCCTCATCTCCTCTCCTCAGCCTCATGGTGCCTCCCACCAGCTTGACGGGAATCCTCCGTTCTCAGAGTCCCCTGGGCCGGTCACCAACCCTGCTCCTGTTACTCTGTGCCTCGTTGCCTTCTCCAGCCAGACTCAGACCCTTCTCCGCTCCATCCTGCATCCTTCTTGATCCTCTGAAGTCCTACAGTCCTCAGCTTGCAACCTGGGGCCAGAGACACCACCAGGGCCTGTTTGACGAATGAATAAGTAAACACCCCATTACCCTGGTACCAGGCCCTCTAGTCTGCAGACGGGCCTGGCATGTCAGTTGGAGTGCCGCCACCAATGATGACTATTTGCTGACCCCGTCCACGTAGGGCGGGGGTGATGCTCACAGACATCAGGTAGCTGGTTAGAACCAAGGCATGCCTGGGAAGGAGTTGGTGGAGCCGGCAGACGAGGCCTGCTCTCATGTTTGTGCTGGAAGGTGGACTCTTCCCGGTGCGGGAAACAGCTCCCCCACGGATGGGAGAGGCACCGTCCGCTCAGACGCCCAGGCACCTGCGTGCCTGCGTGGGCTCATTCACTCGGCCGCCAGGCTCCCTGGACTGGTTCATTCCTGCCCACACGCGTGCATGCATTCGTTCATGGCCAGAATCTGGGGGTACAGAGGGGTGCGGAAGGCCCTTGGGCTGCCCTGTGCCCTGGAGCTCTCAGGGGAAGGGGCCCCCACAGTCAGGACTCGGACAGAACAAACACTAAAGCAGTAACCGCCGTACACACGCGGGGCCTCGAGTCAGCCACCCCAGCAAAAGGCTGCCTGGGGCCGTCACGCGTGGTCCTCGGTTGTGCTGGCGTCCTTGGGGTTCCGTCCCCTGGCAGGGCACTGACCATCTCTCCTGCAGGTTATGAGCATCCTGAGCAACCCCAGCGCGGTGCCGCCCCAGCCACAGGCCGACTTCTCCATCTCCCCCCTGCACGGTGGCTTGGATTCGGCCTCCTCTATCTCGGCCAGCTGCCAGCGGGCCGACTCCATCAAATCAGGAGACAGTCTGCCCACGTCCCAGTCCTACTGTCCACCCACCTACAGCACCACCGGCTACAGCGTGGACCCCGTGGCTGGCTACCAGTACGGCCAGTACGGCCAAAGTGAGTGTCCCCTCCCGTCCTCCCTGCCCCTAATCCGAAGGTCTCTTTCTCTTGCTTATTTCTAGAGACCAAATGGTGCCAGGGGGGTGGGTATGGGAAACGGGCCCATTTCACAGGTGGGGAAATTGAGGTGCAGAAAGGGGATGGAGTTGACCCCAGATGATTCTGAGCTGGGACTTATATTCAGATCAACTCCTGATTAGACCGCTGCTTGTGTCCTTAGGCTCCTATACAAACAGAAGAGCCACAGATGTCACTTAGCATTTTATAGTCACATTTTAGAACATAAGAAGAAACAAGTGGACTTCTTACTAACACGTTATTTAATCCAGTATATCTAGAAGAGGATCACGTCCACACGTAATCCTGCCTTCTCTCTTTCACACTCCTGCCCTGCCATCCAGTGTGGGTTTTATCCGCCCGACCCATTTTAATTCAGACAGAAAGTGCTCATCAGAAATACTGGATCGGTTTTAAATTTCATACAGTTTATAATTGGGGACGTGAATTTGCACACCAAAGTTGTTCCAAATAGACTTGTAAGTTTTCCAACCATGAAATAACTAAATTGAAGATCAGTTTTAAAATTTAAATTAGATGAAACTAAATAAACATTGCACCGGACTCCCTGGCCTGGTAGCTGCCGTGGCGGTGGCGCCAGGGCGGACAGCCCAGTGAGGTCCTGTCCCCCTCGCCCCGTGGTGTGCGGGGGAGCTGTGTTTGGCGCTGTGTCCCCTGCCCAGCCACCCCCTGGCCCTCGGTTTTCCCAGCCTGCTGTGGTCTCCCACGCTCACCCAGCGCCATCTGCTTAGCAACTGGCCTCAATTCGGGAGGGCGGATCCTCAGACCGAAGGCTGGAAGCGGCAGGCTGGGCCAGCGGTGGGGCAGACCCAGCCAGGACAGGGAGCCAGAGGTCAGGTCGCCAGGCCCCCTCCCGCCCCGGGGAGGCCTCACCTGCTGGTGTCAAACTAATCAGAAGTGGGGGGTGGCCAGGCCTCCATGCCCCAGGGCGTCCTCCAGCAGCCTGGCCCAGCCCCTCTGACCTCTGTCCCTGTGCCCCTGTGACCCACTCCTCCTCCCCTGGCCTTGGCCTCCATGCCTAAATGAGGGCCAGCTGTGTCAGCCTCTACCTCCCAGCTGTGCTCAGGGACCCTTTCTCTGTGTGTGCGCACACTCGTGAGTGTGAATGCATCTATAGGGGCCGAGTTACGGTTCATGCAGTCACCCGAGTGTGCTGTGTACAGGTCTCTTGTCTGACCCGTGTATAGCACATGTGTGTAGCGTCACAGACAGACAAGTTACGTGTGTGTGTACATGTGGGTGCACTGCATGTGATTCTCACTCATGTGCACTAAATGACCGTGTCATGCACACATGCTATGCACACAGGTTTGTATGTATGGACACATAAGTTCACATGCACGCATATCCATGTGATAGTAACACACATGCTCAAATGTGCGTGCAAGTGTACACTTTGTGCAGAGCGTGTTTGCGTGTGTGCTGTGTTTGCTATATGTGCCCGCTTGTCCCGTGTAGACAGGTGTCATAAGCATGCATGTGTGTGCCTGTGATGTATGCGTGTGCAAATGTGAGCGGCACTGTGTCCCTGTGTGCAGAGGCGTGTGAAGGGGTGTGCGTGTGCTCGATGTCTGTGTACTTGTGAGTTTGGGTGTGTGCACGGGGCAGCGTATGCGTCTGGGTGTGCCCTTGTGGTGTGTCTGTGTGCATGTGGCCATGTGTGCACGGGATGCTGGGAAGCAGGGTGCACTCGTGTGTGCAGGACCCCAGAGGGACCCAGCGGCCCCCTGGCCCCGTGCATGTTCCTGGCTCCAAGCGGGGCACACGTGCTCTTGATCAAGATTTGAGAACGGAGCAGCGGCAGCACGAGCGGCCCCAGGCAGGCCTTAGTCACACCCCGAGCTGAGCGCACAGCGCTCCAGGGGCGCCTGCCCAATTCGGAAATAAAATTAACCCCAAAGTCAGCATGGGGCGGTGGGGGAGGGGATCAAAAGAGAAGGGCCCGGCGGGCGAGAGAGGAGTGCGTGCTGCCTTGGCCAGGAAAGCTGGCGGAGATGCTCCCCCCCCTTCCTCACCCCTCCCCCCAGCCCTCCCTTCTCTCTTCCTCCTGCCCCTCCCCCTTCTCCCATCCACCCAGGCTTCTCCAGGGACAGCTCTGACCTGCCTGGGCCACCTCCTCTGGCCCTCCCTGAGGAGAAGCCCCCCCCCCCCCGCTCCAATGGACCCCACCCCAGGAGGCTGTGGGTTGTCTGGAATGCTCCTCGGTCACCACTTAGTCACACACTTGCCTCTCTGAGCCTCAGTCTTTCCGGCTGTGAAGTGGGGCCAGGGACGAAACCTTCCACCTCCAAGTTTTCCAGCACCCCATTCCCCTCGCCTCTGACAACCAGGGCAACCCAGAGACAGATGGCTTGTGTCCCACTAACCCTTTCCTACCTGACTGCATGCATGGCTGGGATCCCACAAAATGCACCGAGAGGCACGTGTCCCCAGCTTCCCCTGTGTGTGCACCCAGGCTCACTTGTCACCTGCACACATCTGTCCTGGGTGTGGCTTGGCCCATGGGACACTGGCTGAAATGCATCCTCCTCATTCGCTAATGTGTGGACACACACGGATCCAAGACCTAAGCATACAGGAGGCGACATGTGGGCCCAGGAAGGAGACGTGCCCGTTTACTGAGCACCTACTGTGGGCCTGATTCCCAGCCTCAGCCGCCTGGCAGTGTGTGTGGCCTCCCCTCCCCTCTCCCAGGTGACGCCTGGCATCCCAGAGGTTGTCTGTCTGAGGTCACCCAGCAGCAGCAGTGGAAGGCAGCGCCAGCCCAGGGAGGGCCTGCTCAGCTGTGCACGGAGGGCGCCGGGGCTCCCTCCTCACCCTCCTCTCCCCTCCTGCCCCCCCTCCTCTCCCCTCCTCTCCCCTCCTCTCCCCTCCTGCTCCCCCCCCCCTCTCCCCTGGTCCCCCACCCTCCAGGACACCTTCTCACCTTCTTTTCCCACTCAGGCCATTGTCCACCCATCTGTCCATCTCTTCCTGTCCCCGGGAGGGGGCCGGGGGGGCCAGGGACGGGCACTCTGCAGATTAATATGGCCCGGGTGCTCCCAGAGGCCAGGGCCATACTAATGATGGGGCTGATAGGACGCAGAAGTGTGAAAGGAATTTTAATAGATCTGACAAGTCTAATAAGAATTTGTGTCTAGAAGGGTCCTCCTCTGGGGCCGCGGGCTGACGAGGCGCTGACGGCTGAGATTTGTTTACTGGTTGGCACCGTGGCCACAGCTCCTGCCAACTCCTGATTAATCTAATTTGAGACGTTTAGAGCCCAGGCACAGGTGAGAGGCAGAAGAGGGGACACACGGAGAGGGGACACACGAGGGAGATGGAGGGATGGGGAGGGCCACTGACAGAGGCCCTGATGAGGAGAGTCACAGCCTGGCCGCCCTGGCCCCTCGGCTCCGCCCCGGGAGAGGCAGGCTCGGTGGCACTGCGTGCCCCTGAAGTTGGCTGGGTCACCAGTTGACTCGGCATTTCTTTGGCCACCTGGACAGGGTCCAGGCAGCTCCTGTGTGCTGGGCCTGGTACTGGCAATGGGAAAGGTGCAAGAGGAGGAGACATGCAGAATGCACAGAGGTGCAAGGGGACAGATTCGAGCTCTTCCTTGTCACGCGCTGTATGTGACCGAACCAGCAACTGCCCTGTGCTTCAGTTTGCACATCTGTCAAATGGGAAGAATCTAGAATCTAGAACTTAGCACATAGTAAGTATGCACTAAGTGAGTGCTCTCATCCTGACTTTTTGCCCCAAGTACTAGGAATTGACCCCAGGGCCTTTGAACTGCACTCCAACCCTAGCCGTTTTTTATTTTTGGAGGCAGAATCTCACTAAGTCGCTAAGTTGCCCAAAGTGAATTTAAACCTGTGATCTTCCTGCCTCAGCTTCGCAGAGTCGCTCTGACTTCTGACCAGGCCAGTCAGACTCAGGCCTGCAGGGAGGACTGCAGAGCTAGTGTCAGTGGTTGGTGAGGTGTGGAATAAGCCAAGCAGGGACAGGTCACCAGAGCTGACTGTGCACAGGCTGCTGGTGACACCCAGGTACACCTCAGGAGCTGGCTCCAGAGTGCCTGGCTTGAATCCTGGCTTCCCAGCCTGAGCGCTCTGTGGCCTTGCGTGTCAGGCTCTGTGGTCGGTGGCAGGGGACACACCTGTGTCCCAGCCTCACAGAGTGGCCATGCAAAAACTCAGTGAATGGTGAACACTCAGTGCTGAGAGCCTGCGAGTCCTGGCTGAGGTGGGCGCTTTGCCAAGGCTGGGCCTGCTCCTCCTCTTCCTGTCGCTCCTCTGAGAGGGCAGCGCCACACCCCTTCTCACGGTAAGGGACCCGGAGTCTGGAGGCCCAGTGGCTTCAGCATGAGCTTAGCAGCAGCCCTGGAGCAGCTGGCCTCTGTCCCCCACTGGAGAGACGGGTGATCGTCCAAGGCGGTTTCACTGGAGGTGGCTGTAACCTTTGCTTCTTACCCCCATCCGAGGTCACATCTACTTACTGAATCCCAGGCCTCAGATCCCACTGCACTGGAGCCCTCGGCTTTGGAGCTCACAAGCTGCCAAACATGGCCCTAAGGAATATTTTCTCATGGAGTCTTCCTCCCAGCTCTTCAGTGCCATTCATACACCCATTTTACAGATGAGGACCCTGAGGCTCAGGTGGTAAGGTGCTGTGTCCCAAATCACACTCTTGA